CTATGATTCAGAGGTAACTAATTGTAGGGATGGAAAAGTCACCTAGTCCAACTTCTTGCTATGCAGAAATTGCAGTTAAGGAACAGATGGCCACCCAACCTCTGTTAAAAAACCTCTAGTCCACCACCTCCATGGAAGTCCATAGAGTAGGTGGAAGACAGTGCTGGCTCACTCTACTTGCAGCTGGATCGCTAGAGCTTTTTAAAATCTAGCTACTTATGAACGTATCTAGAAAATCAGTTTCTTGGATCTGGTCCATGACCACCCACTCAAGAGCCTTGCCCAAGAAGGGGAGATGGGCAACTAGGTGGTAGTTACTTAGATTTCAAGGTGTGAGGAACCCAACAGGACACACCCCGTCTTCATTGCCCTAGCTGTCAATGCACCAAAAAGAAATTTTTGGGTGCCAGGAAGGTGATAGAAATGAACCACATGACGTCTTTACTCTTCCATGGAATCACTTGGCAGCGATTCTGAACTGTGAGTCAGAGATCATCAGCATTTAACCCCAGTCAGTCTCGCTATCCCATAAACAGATCTCCTTCCTCCATTTTTTGTGACGCTGTATATCTTTCTGTCCTGTTTTCCTCTTTGGCATTGATATTTATTTCTCTTTTAAAATCTGGAAGCCCGCTCTCCAGAAGGAAACTGACTCAGCAGCTTTTATAACTGCTGTCAATCAAGGAATGAAACAGTCCTCATGGTTTTCCAGGACATCCTTAGAAATTCGATTTAGACGAATATATCTTTCTGATGTGCTGAAGGAGCACATTAGCTATGGTGCTGGAGGAGACCCTTGAGAGTCCCATGGACTGCAAAAAGATCAAACCTATCCATTCTGAAGGAAATCAGACCTGAGTGCTCACTAGAAGGACAGATCCTGGATCTGGAAGGACAAATCGTGAAGCTGGGGCTCCAATACTTTGGCCACCTCATGAGAAGAGAAGACTTCCTGGAAAAGACCCTGGTGTTGGGAAAGATGGAGGGCACAAGGAGAAGGGGACGACAGGGGACGAGATGGCTGGACAGTGTTCTCGAAGCTACCAGCATGAGATTGACCAAACTGCGGGAGGCAGTGGAAGACAGGAGTGCCTGGCGTGCTCTGGTCCAGGGGGTCACGAAGAGTCGGACACGACTAAATGACTAAACAACAACAACAACAACCTTTCTGACAGTATGAGATGTTTGAGAGTGAGCCCACCTGTCAGGGATGTTGTGACTGTTGATTTTCTGCATCAACAGGGGTTGGGCTAAGGAAGGGGTCACCAACATGCGCCTCTGGGTGCATGTTGCCAGCTAGCCAGCCATGCCTTCCTTTAGGATACACAATTCCATACCCTCTTACAGGTCCTGCAGAAGGAGATCAAGTCCTGCAGGGCCCTAGTCTCATGGGACAGAGCATTCCACCAGGTCAGAGCCATCACTGAAAAGGCCCTGGCCCTGGTGGAGGATACACACACATCAATAAATAAATTTTAGAAAAGGGCAAGGTTAGACATGGATGCACAAAACAGTTTTAATGGGGGGGGGGGGGAAATCAAGATTCCTTGTGTTCCACTTCACATTTCTTCCGGCCCAGGGCAGCCCGGCCCCCTTGCCTGCCCCTCTGATCTGGTACGTCATGTGGGGCTGGGCCTTGGCATCGAAATTGTGCATCAAAATGCATTTATGAGTGAATATAATATGCAAAGATGCGTTATTTTTTAGATGTTTAGGGAAGTTTTTAATGTTTAATGCTGTATTGTGTTTTCATATTCAGTTGGGAGCTGCCCAGAGCCCAGAGTGACTGGGGAAACCCAGCCAGATGGGCGAGATATACATAATAAATTATTATTATTATTATTATTATTATTATTGGAAAAGCGCATCCAAAAAATTTGCATATGAGGAGAGAGTCAGCCGAAAAGGCTGCTGAATTTCCATGAGGATTAAATTGTTGTAATTTTTCACAGGTTGCTGTGGAGAAGTGGAGAATTGAATTGAATATCAAGAAAATTATATATATGTGTGTGTGTGTGTGTGTAATGGACAGATTTACGTGCCCCTAGTGTGGACTGAATCTTTTACTTTTCTCCATAGAAACTACTACTTGAGCAGAAGGGGGAAAAGAGTTGCACCATCTATTATCTCTCGTGAATCACCTTTTCCTTGCTTTCCAGGGTAAAAACAGAACCCAGCTGCTTGGATGACATGCCCACACTTGGGGCTGCTTTTCCTCATGAAACAAAACAAGTCATTATGTTCTTTCTCTCCACCCTCTTTTCTCTTTTTTGAAGCCAAGCTTTGTTCGCTCCCTCCTCCACCACCCAACACGAAAATAGAAGGCGCTTCGACACTTCTGAACAGCAGCGCATGTCCCTTCGTCAACCCCAAGTCTAGGACACACAAGACCTCCATTTGGGCAGGTTGAGAAGCGAGGACAGTGAAGTGGGCAGGCTGCTCTGGGGAGAAAAGCCATATGTCAGTGGGAGATACAATGTGGCGCAGTGGTTACAGTGCCAGACTAGGAGCCGGGAGAGACCAGGGGTCGAATCCCCACTCAGCCATGAAGCTCACCGGGAGTGACCTTGGGGGCCAGGCGCTGTCGTTCAGTCTAACAACCTCACAGGGTTGTTGTGTGGTAAAAGATGGAGGGTGACAACCATGCACATCACTGTGAGCTCCTTGGAGGAAAAGGTGTGATAGAAATGGAACAAATAAATAAGTAATCAGCTCTGCATGCAGAAGGTCCCTCATTTCTTAAAACAAATAAAAAAGTCTCTTGGTTCCATTGACTTACTGCCTTGCCAGATCCTTATTCATATACTATCTATATAATCTATCTCTAATCTAAGCTATCTCAGCTATCATCTATCATCTATCTAGATCTATCATCGTATCTATCTAGCATTTCGGTATCTATCCTATCTATCTATCTATCTATCATATCTATCGTATCTATCTATCTATCGCTATCATCTATCTGATCTATCTATCTATCTAGATCTGTCTATTCTATGTATCTATCATCTATCTAAATTCTATCTATCAATCTATCTATCAATCTATCTAATCTATCTATCTATCATCTATCCTTATCTATCATCTATCTATCTATCTTTATATCTATCCATTCTATCTATCTATCTATCTATCTATCTAATCTATCTAGTCTTCTATCTAATCTACTTCTATCTATCTATCTATCTATCTATCTCTATCTATCTATCTATACTACTATCATCTATCTATCTATCTATCTATCATTATCTATCTATCTATCTATCTATCATCATCTATCATCTATATCTCTATCATCTATCATCTATCTATCTATCATCTATCTATCTATCTATCTATCTATCATCTATCATCTATCTATCTCTATCTATCTATCTATCATCTATCTATCTCATCTATCTATCTATCTATCTATCTATCTATCTATCTATCTATCTATCTATATCTATCTATCTATCTCATCTATCATCTATCTCATCTATCTATCTATCTATCTATCATCTATCTATCTCTATCTATCTATCTATCTACTATCTATATCTATCTATATCTATCTATCATCATCTATCTATCTATCTATCTATCTATCATCTATCTATCTATCTATATCTATCTATCTATCTATCATCTATCTATCTATCTATCTATATCTATCTATCTATCTATCTATATCATCTATCACCTATCATCTATCATCTATCATCTATCTATCTATCATCTATCTATCTATCTATCTATCTATCTATCTATCTATCTATCTATCATCTATCATCTATCTATCTATCTATCTATCTCTATCTATCTATCTCTATCTATCATCTATCTATCTATCTATCTATCTATCATCTATCTATCATCTATCTATCTATCTATCTATCTATCTATCTATCATCTATCTATCTATCATCTATATATATCTATCTATCTATCTATCTATCTATCTATCTATCTATCTATCTATCTATCTATCTATCTATCTATCATCTATATCTATCTATCTATATCTATCTATATCTATCTATCTATCTATCTATCTATCTATCTATCTATCATCATCTATCTATCTATCATCTATCTATCATCTATCTATCTATCTCTATATCTATCTATCTCTATCTATCTATCTATCTATCTATCATCTATCTATCTATCTATCCTTTTTTTAGAAATAAGGTGGGATATGAATGCAAAAAGAAAGAAAGAAAAAAGAATCAGCTTTACATGCAGAAGGTTCTGGGTTGAGTCCCCAACATCTGCATTTCAGGACAGGAAAATCCATCAATTTCCATTCCTCTCAGTTCTCATTCCCCGCTCCCCAACCTAAAATTCCATTCTCTGCATTTCCACATCTGTTTACAAATCTTTTTAAGTCTTCGTGAAAATCCATCACCATATTGCCACAAATTTCTCCAAATAGACAGATGCTTATATGCATCTTCCCCTAATATAACACACTTTGGTGCTAATAGAATGCACACAGTGTCTCAGTTTATGCAAATCACGTAGCTGGAGGAAGTGCTTTGCAAAATTCAGAGTGGTGTGAATTTCGGAGGCTGGGCCCCTGTGCTGTTCAGGGCTCACTGCGAGGTCCCCCTCCCCATACTGTGCTTAAAATTGGAACACAATAGCACCCTGGCTGCTGGGTCCAGGCCAAAGGGAGCCCATCTAGTCTGGCATCCTTTTCACACAGTGGCCGACCAGATGCCCCGATGGTTAATCTGTGAGCAGGACCTGATTGCAGCTAGACTCCCCCCTCCTTGTGCATCCCAGCAACTGTTGTCCTTCCGAGACTCAAGTCTGAGCAGGAATTTGGTCAGGCCCCTGTTCTTACATTGGGGGGAAGAGATCGTTTAATTGCCCTGATGAAGGATTTCCTGATGAGATGCGACATCAGTGCCCGCTCGCACCGAACCCTCCGATTAAATCGTCATCTGGTGATAATCCGCGCCGTCCGGGACTGAAACTCTGTTCACGCACAAGAGAGAGAGAGAGTGTGTGTCTTTCTCTCTCTCACACACAGAGATTTGTTCAGGAACTCAGTTGCTATCGAAGAGCCGCAAACAGTAATTATGATCAGTTAAGGGGTGCTAATTAACACTTGTAGCTGAGCGGGGGAGAGAGAAAGTGAGAGAGAGAGAGAGAGAGAGAGAGAGAGAGAAGGAAAGAGAGATCTCCAAGGACTCCGTGATGTGCTTCTCCCTGTGGCAGCTCCCCACCTCCCCAGCAGATGCTCTTGAGACAGGCAGGGCAAAGAGGAATCTGGCAGGGCGGAAATGGAGATGAAATGGGCAATGCTCAGAAAGAATGCTCTCGCTTTATTGCTCTTGACACTCACCAGCTTCTTAACAGGTAAGTGAATTAGACCTGCGTGTAAGACACAGAAGATCCCTGGGGGATGGGTGTGTGTGTGTGTGTGTTTGTGTGTGGAGACCTGGTGTTTGGAGGCGAGATGATTTAACAAAGGTGAGAGTGTATCTATTCCCACACACACCCCGGGCCACCCTATAGGCACAATTCACTTTCCTTCAGTGTGCCCTTGTTTGAGGTGGGCTGGAATAAAAACTTAACCTCGTGTGAAACTTTTGCTGCGATTCTATTGATGCCTTTTAGCATACGGGACTATTGATGGTTGCTTAATGCCCTCTAGGGTAACCTCTGCATCCTTTACTTGGGAGACAGCCCCATTGAAAATGGCAAGGCTTACTTCTGAGTAAACTCGCATAGGACCAGGTTTGCGAGGAAGACTTCTAGGGTGGCTTGGAAAATTGTGGTTCTGGTCTTGATCATTTTCTACTGTTTTTGAACTGTGGGCATGAGCACTTGGGTTGCTGCCTTGAGCATTTGTTTTAGAAAAGAAGCATGGATTTATTTCAGCTTAAAATATCTTCCAGCAGTAGTCAAGGCGCTTGTGGGCAAATCAATGTCTGCTTTCAGCAGAATTCCCCCACTCCCCTATAATGATGCCACCCATATATCTCCTACTGAGCCTTGCACAAGGCTGTCTCTTGGTTCCATGGACTTATTGCCTTGCCGGATCCTTATTTATAAAAATTCAGTAACCAGATTCACATATTTGACATGCATCCCTCCCCCACGGCATAATGTACTTGCATTTATGTTCTCAAATGCAAATTGCTTTGGTGACCTTTTAGGTAACAAGTGACTAATAAGCATAACGAGTGATTAAATCGATAAATAACCTGGTCTGCACTGGGGAGAACCAAAAGGCACAGTTCACCATGCAATTTTCACACACCAGTTGCATTTACACTAACGTGCAGCTCCAGTTCATTTCAAAGTGACTCGCAACAGGATCACGCCTGACATGATTTCCATGGGACGCAGGTGGTGGAAATGAAAGTTTGCATCTTCTATGCAATGGCATGCAAAAGAACTCTCCCTGATTCTTGACTCCCTGATCCAGATTCTATCCTCCATCTTTTTTTCCGCCTCGGCAATTTTTTTGCCTGCAGAGGCAACTTGGTAGCAAAGGTGGCTGGATATTATTAGCACACAACCAGATGTTACAGCTCCAAATAACTTGCACATGAGAGACGCTCCAGGGAGGAAGAGATCGCAGCTCCAGAAACACTTTCTGTAAGGAAGGCAGGACCCGTAATATGAAGTGTGTGCGAAATTAGCAGTTCCTCAGCCACCTCTCATTTCATCTACTGCTCAGTTCATTCCTATTACTAATTCTTCGTATTCAGCCTGGGGTGTGTATTTTTTTCTTAATTGGTTAGAAGCAGGGATAATTAGATCTGCTAACTCCAGTTCTCTCAGTTTTCCAATCTTAAATTGAGTCCTCCACATTTCTGCAGAAATTTGCTTTTTTTAAAATAAAAAAATCCTGAAAATTCATGTATTTCTCCATATTTTGTTTGCAGTTTTGACTAATGTGCAGGGGTTTTTTTGCAAGCAATTTGCCCAAACATGATAAATTTTCATATGTTATTGAGCCTAATGCATTTATTTATTATGCACACATTCCCCTAAAAGATTCAGTTTTGTAATTGTTGGCTGAAAAACTGCCTTGAAATATTTGGAAAAGTGAAAATTTCTAACGATCGCTGTCTTCTTACCCTACTCTACTAAAGTCTTATTCTTAGACTTACCAATTTCACAGTTCCTTGCCTGGGAGGCTGTGAGACCTCAAAAGCTTTAACCTGAAGGTGTAATAGCACCTTACCTATGGAAGGGCAGAATAGACATTTTCATAATGAACGATAATAGCAGCTCTAACTAATGCTCCGGGTTGGTGCAAGACATTTTGCTGCCTGAGGCACAAAACCAAGATGGCGTCTTCCACCTCTTTCAACATGGAGCAGCTGAATCTGATTAAACACTGACAGTAGGAGAGCATCTTCCAATGCATCCAAGGGCAGGAGATGAGGGAGGTGCAAAACAGGCCATGAGGTAGACACAACTCTGTCCTTCAATTGAGGGGAAGAGCTGGTGGGTTCAGGAGGAAAAGCCAGCTATCTCAACTCTGGCTAGCGGTAGGGCTGACCTGTTAAGGATGAGAATGCCCACCCTGCTTGATATTTGAGCTTTTCGAAGGAATGACACAGACTTACTGCATCTCAAGGCCCCTTGACCCCACAGCTTACAATTATTTCCCCTTGCCACATATCTCAACATCTGCCAGTTGACGACCACCATTCATGCATCTAACCCTTGAGAGCACTTATAACGTACTATAGTTGTTAGCCTTTCAGGAAAGGATGAGGGAAAATCCAGTTTTGTTCGTATTGCAATGCCAACTTCTGCCGAATTCACATTTCCTGAAACAATACACAAATCGAAACTCGCCTGCCCCTCAAAATAAGAACAATATTTCAAATTTTGCTGTGCAGTTCTCCAGCTGCAAATAGATGAATGTGTATAAAAGGGTATCTCTTAATGAAAACAATATGGGCGTCTCCCCACTTACATGGGGGTTATGTTCCCGGATACCCCACGTATATGTGAAATGGTGTTTAGTGGTGAACACCTTCTAAAAAAAAAAAACTCTGCCAAAAATCCATCAAACCCCACCACAACTGTTTCCTCCAAATCTGCTTTCTCAAACTTCAACTCCCCACAGGTTTCAAAGGTCAGTGCAAAGACTCATGGGATTGCAGTTGCAAAGGTTCCTGGGACTGCTAGCGTTTTCCTCACTCTTGGCAGGTGCCCTCAATCTGCACTTTCTGGGAACAACTGAAGACATTGTTGTTCCCACAGACTTTTCCAGCTGAATAAATGGGTCTTTGCCACGAGTGTACACTTGTTAGGGTCTTAGTCTTGTTTTAAATGTATTGCTTTTGTTTTTCTGATTATCTGCTATGTAAATTGCCTTGAGATGGTGGTTAAGAAGGCAATTGATTGATTAATGGTAATAATAACAACCTTGGCAGATTGTGATTCCCGCTTCTGTTAGGACTGAATATTACTAATCTGTATTATAAAATGTCACAGAATTAAGCAGGTTTAAAGGCTGCAGATGTTTCCAGGAAGGATGCCTGTTGTTCCTCGGATTCTCAATTTGGCCTACTGAGAGTAGACCTATTGAAATGAATGGACTGAAGCTAGCTATGTCCGTCACATTTCAATGGGTCTCCTCTGAGTAAAATTAATGTTTGAAATCAGTCCGTCTAGCAACTGCTATCCACTGTGATGCCATAGAGAGTCAGACTAGGACCTGGGTGTAACCTTGGGGGGGCCAGTCATTGACTCTCAGCCTAACCTACCTCACAGGGTTGTTGCGGGGATTAAATTAGGAGTTGGAAGAACCATGCACCCCCACCTTGAGCTCCTTGGAGGGAAAAAGTGATATATAAATGCAATAACAGTGTGTCTCATCCTGCCCTGGGAACATAAATTTGCACTGAGGGTTGTAGGGATGTAAACTGTGCAAGCAAGAAATCTGCACACAAATCTCCTTTGCGCTGCCTGCCATCTTTGCCTCTCAGCGTTCCTTTCCTAAGCCCTTTATTTATTTATTTGTAATAATCCACCAGTTGTGTGTCTCTCCCCCCCCCCAACTCATTCCTCCCTCCAAGCCCCTGCTAACCAGTCATGTCTTTCAGCTTTGAGGACAGGGGATTTGCGGAGATTACAATGTTCTAACCAACTTCAGGATAAAATGGGATAAAGCTGTGATAAATGGTGGACGCAATTTTCTTCATCCCAGTAACCTACCCACCCCCCTCGTTCCTGCCTCCCCCATCTCCGCAATCCGCCACTTCCTTAAGGTGAACCCAGACAACAGTCACAGCGGAAGAAAAAGGGATTTGAGGGCCCTGGGGAGAAGATTGACTCATGATGTTAGGATGGAACATGGAAGGCAGACTAGAGAACAATGCGGCCAGGCTGGATGGGACTTGGAGTAAGGCCATTTTCTGGGTCTAACATGTACCTTGGGACAGTCACTGGATCTCTGCCTAACCTACCTCACAGGGTTGTTGTGGAGCGTAAATGTAGAGGGGGAGAGAACCACATATGCCACCTTGAACCCCTTTGAGAAGAAGAAGAGTGGAAGAGTTTGGATTTGATATTCCGATTTATCACTACCCGAAGGAGTCTCAAAGCGGCTAACATTCTCCTTTCCCTCCCCCCCCCCCTCAACAAAAACTCTGTGAGGTGAGTGGGGATGAAAGACTTCAAAGAAGTGTGACTAGCCCAAGGTCACCCAGCAGCTGCATGTGGAGGAGCGGAGACGCGAACCCGGTTCACCAGATTACGAGTCCACCACTCTTAACCACTACACCAAACTGAGAAAAAGGTGGGATGTCAATGTGATGGAGATATAGACAAACAGAGTGTCAGTCTTGGATCTGGGAGAACAAGGTTCAAATCCCCACTTGGCTATGAAGCTCACTGGGCATGACCCTGACTCAGCCACAGCTTGCCTCTCAGCCTCACCACTGTGGGGGCTAAATGAGGAGGGAGGGAAAGAACCATGCAATAGCCACCTTGAGCTCCTTGGAGAGGGAAAAAATGGTGAGATATAAACACAAAGGAATAAATAAAACCTTACTAAAACAACCGGGGTGAGAGAAAACAGATTGCACCGCCTGTTTTTTGTTTCCGATACTTAATGAAATCAAAGAAGGTCTCTTGGCATTTTCCAAAGGAGCAGCAATCAAAGATTGCAATTATTAATAAATAATAAAGAGAAACCCCAGGAAAATAGGATCACTGCAACTGACCCCCCCTCTCCTTTTTTCCCCTTATCCCTCCACTTATTGATTTATTTTTATCTGAGAGAGAGGCGAAGGCTAAACCCAGAACACAGCCCAGCTCACAATAAATTTTGGCAGGCAGAAGCCGTAGGAGAGAGAGACAGCTCTGATGTGGGTATTTAATCT